TAAATGATTTTAGCAAATGGCTGCAATATAACAAAGAGTGAAAAATTGAAGGGGGTCTGAATACTTTCCGTACCCACTGTATATATATATGTATGTATATATGTATGTTTGTGTGTGTGTGTGTTTGATTGGATAATTAAAAAGTTGTATCACGACATTCAATGGAATTAAAGGCAAATTGTCAATAAGCTGTAACATACCAGTGCAGGTCTGTATGTCTGTCCATTGGCGTTTGGAATCACAGGTGATTTGTACAGGCTGCTCTGGTTCAAATCCAGGACTACATTTATATTCTATTGTTGAATTGATTCTGTAGTTTGGTCTCTGACCTTCTACAATCTCTGCATTTGGGATGTAAGGTGCTGCACACATTGCTATAAAACAAACATCCATCATACTAGTTAGAATTCATCAGAGCACAGATATATAATAATTTGATTTCAAATAAAATAAAATAATTTAATTAATTAATTAATTAATATCACAACATTCAATGGAATTAAGAGGCAAAATGTTGAACCACTGTAACACACCAGTGCAGGTCTGCATGTCTGTCCATTGGCGTTGGGAATCACATGTGATTTGTACAGGCTGCTCTGGTTTGAAGGGGGTCTGAATACTTTCCGTACCCACTGTATAATAATTTGATTTCAAATAAAATTATTAAATTAATCAATTAATTAATTAATATCACAACATTCAATGGAATTAAGAGGCAAAATGTTGAACAACTGTAACACACCAGTGCAGGTCTGTATGTCTGTCCATTGGCGTTGGGAATCACATGTGATTTGTACAGGCTGCTCTGGTTCAAATCCAGGACTACATTTATATTCTATTGTTGAATTGATTCTGTAGTTTGGTCTCTGACCTTCTACAATCTCTGCATTTGGGATGTAAGGTGCTGCACACATTGCTATAAAACAAACATCCATCATACTAGTTAGAATTCATCAGAGCACAGATATATAATAATTTGATTTCAAATAAAATAAAATAATTTAATTAATTAATTAATTAATATCACAACATTCAATGGAATTAAGAGGCAAAATGTTGAACCACTGTAACACACCAGTGCAGGTCTGCATGTCTGTCCATTGGCGTTGGGAATCACATGTGATTTGTACAGGCTGCTCTGGTTCAAATCCAGGACTACATTTATATTCTATTGTTGAATTGATTCTGTAGTTTGGTCTCTGACCTTCTACAATCTCTGCATTTGGGATGTAAGGTGCTGCACACATTGCTATAAAACAAACATCCATCATACTAGTTAGAATTCATCAGAGCACAGATATATAATAATTTGATTTCAAATAAAATAAAAAAATTAAATTAATTAATTAATTAATTAATTAATATCACAACATTCAATGGAATTAAGAGGCAAAATGTTGAACCACTGTAACACACCAGTGCAGGTCTGTATGTCTGTCCATTGGCGTTGGGAATCACATGTGATTTGTACAGGCTGCTCTGGTTCAAATCCAGTGCTACATTTATATTCTATTGTTGAATTGATTTTGTAGTTTGATCCCTGTTTTCCCACAATCTCTGCATTTGGGATGTAAGGTGCTGCACACATTTTTTCTGTAAAACAAACATCCATCATACTAGTTAGAATTTATCAGAGCACAGATATATAATAATTTGATTGGAAATAAAAAAAATAAAAATAACAAATTAATTAAACAACCAATCAATCAATCAATTAATTAATTTCACAACATTCAATGGAATTAAGAGGCAAAATGTTGAACAACTGTAACACACCAGTACAGGTCTGTATGTCTGTCCATTGGCGTTGAGAATCACATGTGATTTTTACAGGCTTCTCTGGTTCAAATCCAGTGCTACATTTATATTCTATTGTTGAATTGATTCTGTAGTGTGATCCCTGTTTTCCCACAATCTCTGCATTTGGGATGTTAGGTGCTTCACACATTATTTCTGTAAAACAAACATCCATCAAACTAGTTATAATTCATCAGTGCACAGAATATATAATAATTTGATTGAAAATAAAATAATTTAAAACAAAATAATGCAATAAATAAAGAAACAAACAAATAAATAAATAAATTAATTCATATCACAACATTCAATGGAATTAGGAGACAAAATGTTGATCTACTTTACCATACCAGTGCATTGCCGTATGTATGTCCATTGGCGTTGGGAATCACAGGTGATTTGTACAGGCTGCACTGGTTTAAATCCAAGACTACATTTATATTCTATTGTTGAATTGATTCTGTAGTTTGGTCTCTGACCTTCCACAATCTCTGCATTTGGGATGTTAGGTGCTTCACACATTTTTTCTGTAAAACAAACATCCATTATACTAGTTAGAATTCATCAGAGCACAGATATATAATAATTTGATTGGAAGTAAAATAAATAAATAACACAACATTCAATGGAAATTAGAGACAAAATGTTGATCCACTGTATCATACCAGTGCATTGCTGTATGTTTGTCCATTGGCCCTGGAAATCACAGGTAATTGGTACATGCTGCTCTGGTTCAAATCCAGGACTACATTTATATTCTATTCTTGATTTGATTCTGTAGTTTGGTCTCTGACCTTCCACAATCTCTGCATTTGGGATGTTAGGTGCTTCACACATTATTTCTATAAAACAAACATCTGATTAGAATTCATATTATATGAAGAATCATTTGCACAAATTGTAACATTTAATGGCTGAACACACCAGCACACAGTGGTTTTGGTGTCCATCCGTCTCGTGTACATGTGGCCTCTTTTGCTGTTTCACGATATCCAAACTTACAACTGTAAGATCTTTTTGCTCCCAGTTTCATATCTCCCCTCAAGTAACTGTATGGTCTAGACAAATACCGGTCATGTGGAACTTCACATCTAATCTCTGAAACAAGATTAACATGGTTTTAATAACAGGTAATGAGTTCTTCACCAAATCCAGAAGTGTTTCTCTGTCATCTTGCCTTGACAAACAGTCCTCCTATCGTCCCATTCTCCATTATATTGGCATGTAAATGTTTTGCTGGTTTCTTTTGTAAAAGAGAACCAGTAATTTTTAGAGCAGGTGATCTCCACACTTTGTCCAGCTCTGAAAATAGTTTTCCCCTCTGGGTTGATCTTTTCTACTCCATATGTGGTTGACTGAAGCTCACAAGTTACTTCTGTTTAAGACATAATTATGCAGAACTAATGGTAAGAAGAGATGAAGCATGGAAAACATTGAAACTATTATTGTAAATGCTTTGTCTTAAGCAGGAGACAAATCGATCAAAAAAAAAAAAAAAAACCTTGCAATGAATGCAGTACAGGTTTTTGTCCCAGTACAGTATTAGAGACATATATTCTGTTTAGAGAGCTGTCAGATATACAGTATTTGCTAAACTGATATCTGAAAATTTAGCTAGCATGACAATTAGCTAGTTTCAAATGTCTGTATCCCCCTCCCTTTAAGTTATTTTTCTTCCTTGACAATCCAAATCATAAAACAATCAGAGTACTTTGATCTAATCATTTGAATTGATTATCACAAAGTAGTTATTAGCTAATTTTGGAGTTACCAAATAATAATAATAAAGCTTAGCTGTGTCACACTTTGCATGTGAATTCTAATGCCTCATTTTCCTCCATTAAGAAAAAAAATCTCTACCATTAAAATCTGGAAATCAACATCAATTGGACACTTCCTACAGAATGATAAGACGACAAGTAAATAATTTATTTCCATTTTCTCAAGTTATCTATAAATATGGTGTTGACTGACTCCACCTTGAAGTTAAAAATACAAATTAAAGTAAGATTAAACAAATATATTTATCTTAACTTAGGCCTAATTTGTAGTTTTGTTTTTGAATTTTCAAATTTAGATGCAAGTTTAATGGAAGTTTAATCTATTTTTAGTTTCAGTTACTGTGTGACCCCTTTTGGTTCGCATTGTGAAAGATTAATAAAAGTATTTGAGTATAACTTCCTATCTGAATTATGTAACAGTGGTGGATTACCATCACATTCTGGGTTCAGAGTCCAGCCAAATTTAGCACATCTGGGGTTTCCCTCTCTGGGCTTGAACCCTGGATTGCATCTGTATTTTAATATGGCATCTTTCTGGTATTCTGGCATTTGCTCAACAGCATATCCATTTGATATGACAGGTGTTGTGCATGTTATATCTGTATGAAAAGTGAGAGAAACAAGAATAATTCAACTGGTGCTTTAAATAAAGCACAGAAATCTGTGATCATTGATACAGATAAACAGAAAAATAAACAATAGACTGAACCTTTGCATGTTGGAACAACGTCACTCCATTCTCCCGTCTCTTCACAGTGAATGTCACTACTTCCGTCTATCTTTTTGCCAGAAGATACACACTCAAAGTGAATAACATTGCCATAACTTCCCTCCTCTGTGTTGCCTGATGCAGTTACATCCCGGTCTGTACGAATAGCTGGACATTTTACAGCTAGACAATATATGAATATGAAAATAAATAAATAAACCAACAAACCATTCACATAAAAATAAATCAATCAATATAATTCTCTTCTAGCTTACGAGTCACTCTTCTATGACAGAAAGAAATTAAATGAGAATAAATAAAAAGGAAAAACAGTGACTTTCATGGAATCGTACCCTCACAGACAGGAACAGTATTGTCCCATCCTTGAGCTCTGCACGTACGCTGATTGATTCTGCTTGCCATTTCATATCTGTGAACACAATGTTTTTACAAGTACAGGAGTTTCAAACTGATGACGATAGTATACATTTCCTACAATAAAAAAGAGAATAAAAAAAGCATAAAGCACTTTTACCCTTTCTTACAAGTATACACCAATGTTGCTCCAAAAACGAACTCCGTCCCCGCTGCAAGTTCAAAATTACCATTTGGTATGTCGCCTGGATTACTACATTTCTTCTCTGCAGAAATCAAACAAGTTTTGCTTTCCATGATAACAGTGATTTAATAACCCAAACAATTATGCGGCCATTGTATTGATAATTCTCTTACTTGCACATGGCCGCTCAATGGATTTCTTCCATTCTCCTTTTTCACACTTTAATCTATACAAGCCGATATAACCTATCATGCAGTTCACTCTCACTGTTTCACCATCAGCGTATGAAGCTTTCTCAGCTAGCTCTGTGTTTTCATATTTAATGTCCTCTCGATGACATTCTGAGAAGAACAAACACAAAGACGTAACTGTTTGTATATTAAATTCTGAAGTAAATGCACAACTATTCAACACTCTCTAAAACTACATAAGTTCAGATAAATGTTTTGGGAACTGCATATAATATAACATTTACATTAAAAGTCAGTAAAATCTAAATAAAAAAGACATTTAAATAAATAACAACAACAACAGCAACAACAAATCACTTGCCTTGACATCGGGAACAATTTAAGAAAAACAACCAAAAGCTGAAGATGAGGAGTTTTACAGGAACTCTCATTTTGAGCTCAGTTCACAAGTACTGTACCTTTTTTTTTGGTCTGCCTCTGAAACTCTTGCCTGCTTGGGGATCAACAAGTTAATAATTTACCTGTGACAAAAAGACGACTTTCTTACACCAGACCTCTCTGTGCACAAGCAATATATCCTGTTAAAAATAAATCATTAAATAATAAATAAATTGTATCTGATGCAGCAACTCATGTTTGTCCTTTGGACACACCAAAAAATAACCTTAGAGAAGTCAAACATCTTGAGTCAAATGTATGTAACATACTGTATGAACAGGAAGCAAAGGGCAGGTTTCAAAATAATTGCCATGTTTACAGCTTAATCCTGTTAGATGTTTTTAACTGGTTTAATGTACTTTATGTGATTGATTCAAGAAGAGCATTATGTAATGAATGAATCTGTCCCATTAGAAATGAGTGAGACGAGAGAACACTTTCAAGCCTTCAAACATTGCAATAGTACAAGCACGGCAAAATATCTGTAACTGCCATTATATTGTCAAATGTGTTTATTAGAATTGAGCAATCTTTTGAACTGATAAACAAAAGACAGCAGACAGATGATTTGAGAGTTTGACACCTATTTGTCTTTGCTTAAATTGTTGTCTCCTAGATGACCTGCTGATCCTCCTTATCTCACAACGGAAAAAAAAAAATGTTGTTTTTAACCCTAAAAGTTGGATGCCATTTAGTGGATGTTACAGTGTAGACTTGGTAAACACAGATATGTTAAACTCAAAGGTCTTTAGCTTATTTGCAAATGGTTGGCATGTGCTAACTGAGTCTTGGCACAATCAATGAATACGTTCAAAATGGGGCTTCTTAAAAAAAAAAAAAAAACAATATATGCAGTTTACATTTACATAAATGTCAAAACTTAACATAAATGTGATACTAAATATTATATGAGCAATTTAATTTTCTGTAAGGTTTGCAGTTTTTGCAACCCTGTTACCAAAATTTGGTACATGTCTAAATAATATAATTTATTGGCTAGATTTGATTAGATTATTTGATAGCAATTAGTAATACATAAACATCAAAATTAAATAAAAGAAATAAAAAAAAATAATAAAATTGTCCTGTTCCTGTCATGCTGAAGAAGGGGCCCAAATAATGTCAGAATTTTCAGCTTTTTTTTTTTTTTAACTCAAAATAAAAGGTCAATGTACAAATATCTACTATAATTTAATAAGATATTTGTTTCTTGCAAAATAACTACCAGCTTTGTAAGAACCAAATTGTATGGTTACAGCTTTCCTTGATCAACTGCACCACTAAGTGGTCCCTGTGTGAAGTTTGAATTTATTATTGTATATAATATATAATGTTTCAATGTCTGTACATTGTGGTTAAAGCCTCTTAATATAAAGTGTGACCAGCCTAAGTATATATAGTATACTGGTCCCACTTTATATTAAGAGGCCTTAAACTATGTACTTACATTGAAATTAATCATTTGGTACAATGCGTTTATTGTGTACATACATATTTTTACATTGTTACTTAAAGGGGTCATATGATGCTGCTAAAAAGAACATTATTTGGTGTATTTGGTGTAATGAAATGTGTTTATGCGGTTTAAGGTTAAAAAAAAACATTATTTTCCACATACTGTACATTATTGTTTCTCCTCTATGCCCCGCCTTTCTGAAACGCGTTGATTTTTACAAAGCTCATCGGTCTGAAAAGCGAGGTGTGCTCTGATTGGCCAGCTATCCAGTGCGTTATGATTGGCCGAATACCTCAAGCGTGAGACGGAAATGTTACGTCCCTTACCACATTGTGATGATGCTCTGTCAGGCCGGAGCGACGAGACAAAAACATGAAAACCCATTATAAACTAGGCATTCGTTGCCTCCAGTGGGGACATAATTATGGATTATAATGACCAAATCTTCCCACAGAGCGACGTAGACATGTGGGGGCGTGTTAGAACAAGCCGTTTTAGGTAGGTGTGGCTGACTCTTAACTTTTATAAAGAATATTTCTTTGGATTTGAGACTTTAGTCTTTGCAACTTTACAGATCTTCTTTATGCACCAAGAGCTTGTAACACTTCAAAGAGAAAGGAAAAATTGAAATCGCATCATATGACCCCTTTAAATATTATTATATATTTTTTTCTTTTAAAAACCTATCCCTTACACTTTAACCCACCCTTAATTTTCATTTTACACAGGTTTAACTATGTTCTCATTCAGAAAACAGTATAAAATACAATTAACTCAAGTGTCACACTGTGAACTGAGGTAGCAGGCATTTATCCATGTGTAAACATTAAGTAGCAAAACTGATGACACACCAATCGGAATCCAACGATAACAAAATAATTTGATCTATTTATAGTAGTGTAATAAAAATAAACTTTACTTAAAGCTTTTTGTTGAATTTTACTGTAGCTGTGCCTCTCTATATATGGTGTATACTGTAATAGACGTTGAAAAAAAGAGGATTATGTAAGTCTTACTAGGCAGTGAAGTAGTCTGTTTATTTGTAGGTTATGTGTGTCAGGCTACAGTTTGATTGTGATATGTTTTTGGCTAAAATATTTGGTTTTGACATAGACTTTTGAGATTTGTACAAGCTGGTATGTAGTTTACAATTGGCGTTTGTAGTTGTGAGAAAAAGGTGAATTGAATGGTGAAAAGAAAATATACACCATGCCATTCTGGGGCCTCATTTATAAAACGTGTAATGAAAAGCACATTCCAGGGCCCAGTTTATGGCGTGGCCCCTCTCTGACCACAACAGTGGACAAAGGTTTGCTCCATTTTGACTGGATCTTAGTGGACTAACATAAGCAAACTGCCCAACACCATCAGATAAAGATGCTAGGACAACAGCCAGACACCTCTTAGAGGGCAAGAAGAAGACCTCTGGTAACCAGCCCGGGAAGGACAGGATTTCTCATTGGTCAAAATGCAGTTTCTGCCCTTCACCAACCTAGAGACAAATGAATGCATGCATGACAGTTCAATCTTTTTCCATCATGTTTGGACTTAATGTGTTCGTAACGTTGCCAAATGTATTCTGGTTGTGGTTTGGTAAGTGAATAATGCATCGGTAAAACTTTAGGGACACTTTTCTAAATGTATGTTTGGACTCTGCAGAGGAGAGAAGGGTGGGCCACACCCTCTGATGGAAACAGGCAATCACAGCACAGAAATGGAGAAGCTCCAAATTGCAATCTCCTCCTCATCGGAAAGGGATAAAGGTACCCTTCCAAAAGACACTCCTTGTTCTGAATCTCGGTCCTATAAGGAGAGAGACAGAAACAGATCACCAACGTTCTGAGCCTCTGGCCTGTTTGGGAAGTTTGGCAATAACAGATTCCAAGTTCTGAGTCTTGGTCCTGTAGGGAGAAAGACAATAACAGAAACACCAACGTTTTGAGTCTCCTGTCCAGAGAGACAGAAACAGACATTTCATGCTCTTGAGATTCCAGCTTTTGAGGCAGCAACAGATATGATCACGTCTGAGCCTGCAGTCTGCAAGGAAAGAGATATGCAGACTTTAGAGTCTTTGTCCAGCGAGACAACAACAGGTGTTGCACATCCTGAGTCTCCATCCTAAAGAGACAAAACGGATTGACCAAGTTCTGAGTCTCTAGCCCAGAGAGGCAGAAGACATTAGACTGTCCTCCTCCTAAATACGACCCCATAGGTCGTTTGTGCAAGCAGCGCATTACGACCTATTATTATGTTTTAAAATCAAGCGCCCTCTAGTGGCCTTATAAGTAATGACAGTCTCGTTTGTCGGTGTGTCGTCATCAAATGACCTTTGACTGTCGTTACTATCGTTACCAGTCAAAAAAGGAGGAGTGACCCAACAATTCACCGAATGTCATTGTCCAGTTGTGTTAACTATTTTATTTTATGGTTTGTTTTTTAAGGTACTGTTCTGATTGTCTGCAATTAATGTGAAAGTAAGTGCAGTTTGACGTTTTCTTTACAAATCTGTTGTGAATGCCACTGAACGAATGTGATTTATCACAGTGATGTAGCTCGATCTTGTTAGTAAATGCCCAGTGACCACAACACTTACCATGCTTTTACCACAATAACAGTGTTTATTGTGTACTCTTTGTAGTTAAAGCACAGTAACACAACAATTACCATGATTTTACCACATTAGCGTAGTTTTCATGTGGTATGTGGTATTTGTAGTTAAAGCACAGTAAACACATCACTTGCCATGCCTTTAATACCTTTTTGTAATGTAATTGTAGTATCACGTTTTTTTTTTCTGTCTTGCAGTTTCTTCAGATCACATACATCTCCATCTTCTACAACAACATTTAGTGTCCAGCAGCTCTTTATGAAGCCACTACTCTCGCTCTCTGATTTTCCTTGCCTATTTTTCTGAACTGTAATTCATAATTCAGTTACACATTTTTCTTTCTTCCTTTCTCTTCTTCATCATGGCATATTTTCAAAGCTCAGAATCAAATTTTGATCAGTTATGTCAGAAAGCTGCTAGTATCAACAGGGAACTTGATCTCGAAGCTCAATGCTGAACTTTAAGAAGTTGCCAGGGAAGCTGAAGTCCTTCAAAGGTTCAACACTTCACAGGTAATGTTGAAGAAATTTAGTTATAACTGATTTACTTTAATTTTTCCTTACTTTATGTGTTAATAACCTTCTGTCACGTTGCGTGGTTTTAGTCAAGGGCACACGATGGAGTCTTTTTAATAAACAAACACTACACCATTAAAGCAACGTTAATACGAGACAAAGATGACATGGAAACTGAGGGTTTTTAAAAGGAAGGCAAACTAAGGCGCAGATGAGATGATTAATATGACACAGGTGGGAACAAATGAAGGTGATTAATTGAACACAGCAAATGAACCAAATAATGACAGACAGGAACTAAACAGAACATAATCGTGACATTAGCTCCCCCTCTCGGAAGGCGTGACCTCACACCACAACAGAAGATAATAGAAAAGAGGCAAGAGGGCGGAGGCTTAGGTGGAGGGCGTGGTGCTGATGAAGGACAAGCACCTGGAGAAATCGGAGG